TGAAAAATTCAAACAGTGATCAAGCTGAGTGATAATACTGCTGCTCAACTAAAATAAGGGCAAGACATTTGAAAATATTTCCAAAGTTCTGAGCATAGAAAGATGCAGTTTGCAAGGATTTATATAGTGCTTGATATTGATATAATTTGGTTTTGATCATTATGGTAGAAACAGAGTCCTGCAATAAAAAAAAAGTTAAGATCTGAAGTTATTGAAATTTGTTAAGATAAATGATTGGATAACTAGATTACAGGTATAACACTTGGAATTCTAGGTAAAATCACAAATTTGAAATCACAAATTTTATTGCTTCTGTCTTCTGTTTTAAGATACTGGAAATAGTTTGATGCCTCTAAGGTGGTGGCTTTAAGGCAAGATTTTACAGGATATTATTGCTATATATGGCTTAAAATTGAGACCATATAAAGGGTCCTGAAGGGTGAATGATGGTCAAAGTTGGGTGGGGTTTGGATTTTTTTTTGGAGGAGGGCATGGTGTTGTAGTTGTTGGTTTGGGTTTTTTCTTCCCCCCCCCCCCCCCCAGCTGTGATCAAGAAATAGTATGATAAATTGTCCTCAATTTAGTCTGTTATATAGAAAGATACTAAATAAGGAATGGTCTGAATGGATTCCCTGTTATAGGAACACTGCCTGAATATTCACTGTCTTTAAATGTAGGGTAAAATATTCTTTAAATATATAATCTATGTGTAAAACATTCAGTAGCATAGCTGATGCTGCGTGTTGAAGGAGTTTGTTTCAGTGCCAACGTTATTGATTAAAAATGTAATCCTCATGTTTGCCTTTTGCAGTCGTCAACAAGAAATTGAAGAGAAACTCATAGAGGAAGAAACTGCTCGAAGGGTGGAAGAACTTGTAGCTAAACGCGTAGAAGAAGAGTTGGAGAAAAGGAAGGATGAGATTGAGCGAGAGGTGCTGCGCAGGGTGGAGGAGGCTAAGCGCATCATGGAAAAGCAGTTGCTCGAAGAACTCGAGCGACAGCGACAAGCTGAACTTGCAGCACAAAAAGCCAGAGAGGTAACGCTCGGTCGTTTGGAAAGTAGAGACAGTCCATGGCAAAACTTTCAGTGTCGGTTTGTGCCTCCTGTTCGGTTCACAAAGAGATGGAATACAGCAAATCTAATTCCCTTCTCATATAAACTTGCATTGCTGCGAAACTTAATTTCTAGCCTATTCAGAGGAGCTCACTTATATTTAAACAGTTACTCTCCTAAAACCTGAACAAGGATACTTGATTCTTAATGGAACTGACCTACATATATTTCAGAATTGTTTGAAACTTTTGCCATGGCTGCAGGATTTATCAGCAGTCCTTTCATTTTTGGGGAAGGGTATTAAAAAATATGTAATTATGTATCCTTCATTTGTTTCATTTTGTTTACTTAGACTGTAAGAGGCTTTTGCCTTCAGCCAGGCAAAAAGCAGGGTCCAGCAGTGAGCTGCAGTACCTGTCTTTAACAAATAGGTTTCTTATTCTTCTTTTAAAATGAACATTTTCCTTGAGCATACATTGGACTAATTCTGGGACTTCGAGCATAAGCCTATCCATGTCTTCACGAAGGATCTCTGTCCAAATCATTATATCCATTTTTAATAACTACTAACAACTCCTTTTTTCTCCCTAGAAGTTATAAAAGAGCAGGTTGCCCTTGTCTGAAGTCAAGCTGAACGTGTGACTTGGGTTTTTGGGGCCTTTTTTTGTTGTTTTGTTTTGTTTTTTAATCAGCAGCTGGAGCAGAAGCTGAAAATGTCTTTCTGTGAGACAGTAATTTGCTACTAAAAGGCTTTGATGCCTGCCTGCACCAATCATTCCAGGATCCAGAAATTTCAAGACAAACTTCAAACCGTAGAGGAAATTTGTGCTAAATAGTCATAAGTGTTAAATGCTTTTTTCACTCTGTGCATCCTACACAGTTCATTTTAAATTAATATTTTGATTGGCTTGCGAAAGGAGAGACAGTAGCATTGCAGCTTTCCCCTTCATACTAGATGTGACTTGTCAGTCACATAGTATCAAATTAAATGGAAACAAATGGAATGCTGAGTTACAATAAATACTAAAAAGAATGAATGAATTATACTTTTCTTGCAAATTCAGACTTTAATATCAGAGTTTAAGTTGACTTTACATGTTTGTAGTCAGCAAATTCTTCATATGTAGAGGTTTTCATTTGATCAGATGGATGACTTATTTTTTTAAAAAAAGTATTTTTGGTATTGTCATCATGTGGAGAAGTCCCACCAGTTCCTTGTAATGCAGAACGAACCTCCATGCCTGGAGTGAAGTGTGCTAGCTAGTAGCTGGTTACTAGTCATAGTAAGAAGTTTTCATATGCTTGCTTTGTTCGTATTAACTTTTTTTTCTTACACAGACACAAACCTCTGGCTAACTTTAAATCTTCCAAATACAAAAATAATTTGGATATATATTATGTGAACTGAAACACTTCAAAATTTTTCACGCAGTCTTCATATTTGAGTTGCATAACAGAGTTCCATAAAATTCACCAAGAAAACAACAATTACAAGGCTTTATTTCCTGATCTTGCCTTCCCTGGACTCCTGAATTCCAAGTTCATACTGCAGACAGTTTCAGCTGTCTTAAAATTGTCAAAATACTGAATGTTAAGTCCATTCTCCCCATGAAAGAAGCCCATAGCTCCATGAAGTATGGATTACCATTTGTATTTTTCACTAACAGTAAATGTATTTTTCTTATTAACTGTTTGCCTTAGGAATGATTTACATATTTTTGTTCCTTCTTACCATAAACATCTGCATTCCTCAGCTCAGCCTTCCTTGTATGTTGTTTCTTTATAAATGGTTGAGCTGCTGATGCAGGTATTGCCAAGCTAACAGTACAAATCATTTTAAAGAGGAAGCTGGCGCGTATGGCAGCCGAGGAGCACACTCTGCAGGACACTGGACAAGACAGTAAATATTCAACTTTTAATGCTGATTAAAGGAGTATAGGTAAAGAATACGTAGGTATACTTAATTGGTGAGACAAACTATTCACTTTATTTATATTTTCTATATTACTTTTTAATTTGGTAAATACTATCCAGTTTTTGTAGTTGTCCTTGTTGATTTGTGTGATATTAAAATTCTAGTAATAAATTGTCAGGATTCTATGATTAGGGAGGGTTTAGTTGGTTGCTGTTTGGATTGGGCGGGATGATTTAAATTGAGTGCTAGAAACCAGTTTTAGTGGCTGCACAGTTTACCGTTGTGAGGAAAAATAGGTGGCTGTAAAGCTGCCACTTTAAGTCAGTTCACAGAAGAATTCTGAGAAAGATTAGTGAACATGCAGAAATGAGTATTTTACTTTACTAACATCTTGCCCTGTCCTCCCCTTTAGGAAGAAGAGCGTGCAAAGCGTGAGGAACTAGAGCGAATACTAGAAGAGAATAATCGAAAAATTGCAGAAGCACAAGCTAAACTGGTATGTGAGGGTGTAGTAACTGTTCTGTAGGGAAATACAGGTGTCTCTGCCAGATTTGCAACACAATAATTAAAATAAACAAATCAACCTTTTCTAGAGTTTAACTTGCCTATTGCTGGTTCCATCAGTAACATTGCTCTCCTTCCCCTAAGCATGAAAGACCAGATCCTTAGCAGTAACACTAGGCTGGTAAAATATTTTGGATGCAGTTAATTTAGAGGGGAAATTGCTGCCTTCAGAATTTAAAAAGTATCTTTTAAGTCAATCTCATGGGGAGGGTTGAAATAAGTTTGCCAGCATGTTCAGCTTTGTGTGACTGATTCTGTTTTGTTGAGCAGGACAAGTACAAACTAGATTTGATTCTAGTATAATGTTGATGTAGAAGTGCTGAAAGGGACTTTCAGCATAAGCTTAAGATGTGTAAGCTAGGAAAGTCTAACTTACATTGGTCTTCTTAAGCCCTTTTAAATCAGATGCTTGCCACATGAAAACATTCAATATGATTTAGCTGATTCTAATCAATTGATGATAAGACAAACTAAGCTGCTTCTAAATCCTGATTGAACTCTGTCAGTTTCAATTGCCCAAGTAATTACACCTCTTTCCTATAAAAATGAGGCTTCTTAAATCTTTTTCCTTGAACTACATCTGCTTTAGATTTCTTTCTGTTTTACCCTGCTCGCAACCTCTAATGGTAGAAACAGGACAAAAGGAAAATTTAAAGTATTGACTGATGTAATGAACTAAATAAGCACCTTTAGAAGACCGCTGGGAGAGCTGTAAGAACCATAGGTCAATGTAAGGATTGACTAGTTGCAAATCAAGTGAAGATAGTTTTGGATTAGGAGGGGTTTTTAGATGGGTTTTGGAGCAGGGAGACCTCGGCCTGAACATATGTGACTTCCTTACGTGTGTATGTTACTTCAGCTTGCATATGACAAGTGTTGGGGACAATTTCATGATGTGTACAATGTTTTCCTTATTTAAAATTTAATGTGTTGTTTGCAAAGCAATGCTGAAAAACTTGGCATGTAAGCACTCCAGATTTCAATACACTAGCTATAGAAAGTTCTCAGTGTTTCTTTTAAACTCAATTCAAATAACTATTTTATAAATTGTTTCACTGAAACCAACTATGGCACCCAGCTCAGGCAGAACTGCTTACATACTTACACAGGATTCGACCTATTTGGAAGTTAATATGGACTTGTAAATTGCTTTTATGACTACAAAATACGCTGGCCTAAATGTTACCATTTTCCTATATAGGCTGAAGAACAATTGAAAATTGTTGAAGAACAAAGAAAGATTCATGAGGAGAGGATGAAACTAGAACAAGAGAGACAGCGTCAGCAAAAGGAAGAGCAAAAAATTATCCTGGGCAAAGGAAAGTCTAGGCCAAAACTGTCCTTCTCCCTAAAAAGCCAGGATTAAATTTCAACTCTGAACTCTTAAAAGAAAAAAAAGAAACAAACAAAAAACAACAAAAAAGGAAAACAAACAAAAACTTTGTATGGTAGCTTCATGTTGAAGTGTTTTTTGTTTTTTTTTTCTTTCTCTCAAATTTTTTTTTGTCTATTTTGAAAGTTGGAAAGTTAGCTTGTTCTAATAGGGGCTGTGCTCTGCAATTCTTATTTTTTTTAACTTCCATTAAGTTAAACCCTTATCAGATCATCGTTGCCTTTTAGAGGATAATCTATTTTCATCAATTTTGTTTCTGTATTGGTGGTCCGAAGCAACTCATGTCACTTTATGAACTGTGGATGATCTGATAAGGTTTTACTGACCTACTCATCAGAGTTTGACTCTGATAATTGACAGAACTTTTTACTGGGTATTGCTGACTTTTAATATTTTTATTTTAAAGTCAGTAAATACATGAGTAAATTGCCATAGTATTACTGGACCTCTGTGGTTTATTGTTAAATCAGTGTCCTATGATACTGTCCCATTGTTGCGCTTGATGTTCCTGATACAGGTAAGGAAATAGTTTGTCATTTCTGCTATGAATACATAGAGAGAGTTCAGTATTGTCTCTGTTAGATTTGTTTTTATTACATTGACAGCATTCAACCAGCGTTCCCCACTGTGTAAATAAACCAATTTGCTGAATAAAGTGAAAGTCTTAAATTCATATGTTTAAGTAAATTTTTTTAGTACACTTCTATAAACAGCTATGAGTGACAATTCACATTATTAAATTCAAGACTATAGTAATATTTTTTTAAATTTTGCTTTAAACTATTGTGGCTTCTACTTATAATGCAAAATCACACACAGTAAAAAAATCCCTGCAGTTGTGAATGTTATTGATGGCTGCTGCTGTTTTTATGAATGTTGGTTTTTGTTCTGACAGAGACTTATTTCAGCTGTAGTATCATGTTTAAATGGCTGTTTGGCTTACTGCACCCAGACTGATACTTCCGATACCTAAACCCCTTCCGTTCACTTCATAATATAATATATTGTATAAGTTAAGGTCATTAGCATATAATGAATCTGATGCATCCTAAAGGATTTAAAAATGGAAGTTTCTTCTCCCAAAGGACTGGACTGGCTAGTATATTTGAACTGAAAAACAGAAAGTGAGATTCTGTCTAAATACTTTGTTTTAGCCAGAAAGCAACTGTTATACAGATCTTGAATATTATCCATATATATATACAGGTTTTATTTTGAAAAATGAAACTACAGATTGAAAACTATATATATAAAGTCCCTGTTTTTGTATGTAATTCCTCTACCAAAATCTAGATTACTATAGCTTGTCCAGTTCTAAAACTTTTTCCTGTCTGTGCAACATCTGTAGTAACCATAAAATGACAGTAACCATAAAATTACCAGTAGTTGGCCCGAGCATTTGAATGTCACTGGACAAAGCTGGAAATAATTCCTGATATTCCCAAAGGATCTGTTTCTGTAGATTTAGCAAGTTAAATATGGGAGCAAGTTGAATGTGCCACTGAAAGCAGTATTCAACAAGCTTTGTCTGAAACTGGGGCTTGGGGACAGACTGATGTGTATCACTTTGTCCAGTATGTCAAGAAAATGTGAAGATGGTAAAATACCCACACTATTACTGTACTTAAATTTGTCTATATATTGTATGACAGAAGAAGGTTGAAAGTTGCTTAATGCATAAAAACAAAAGCTGAAGCCAAATAAATCATGTACATGACCTGTTGGCAGGAGCAGGCTGTATTTAAAGGTCAACTGATACCTGTATTTCTAAAGCAGAAAACATCCCCTGTTCCCTTATGAGAAACAAGCTATTAAAAGTCAATACTCAAAACAGACCTATGCAGTTTTGTTTCCTCTTCTAAAAGCAAGAAGCTAAGTAATCATACATACAGCTGTGGTATCAAGCATTTTGTTCTACATCACGTAATTTGCTGCTAAAGAGCAACATTTGTTCTCTGCATGTAACATTGTGTAGGCTTAGATATTACCAGGTTATTTTCAGTCCCACCTCTAGGGTTATTTTTGGGACAAAATGCCCATCCCAAATGAAATTGCCCCGCCTACCATTCCATATTTCACTGCCTGTTTCTCTTTCCCCTGCCCTCAAAAAAAAAAAAAAAAAAGAAAAAGAAAAGCAGTTAGATCTTTGCTTTGGTTTGGTTTGATTTCCTCTGTTGGGGTAGAAGTTCAGTTGGTGCTGTCTCTTTGCTGTCCTAAGGCATTCTCTGTGTCAGATCTTTGTAGACCTGGTGTGGGTGAATGTTATGTTTGCATTGCTGTAGGGTTTTCTTTTTAAAATTATTGTAGGACTTCAGAGATACTGTTGATTTCTAGGAAAAATATAGATGCATATAGTTTGGAAAGGGGGCAAGTTGACATTTGATGGTAAGAACTCAGGATATTCTTGTATTCCCGTAGGACTTCACACCCTTTTAACACAGAGTATACAGGAACATAGACTGACATGTAGTGTTTAAAGTGTGAGCTCTCTGCATAGAGAAAATGCTGTTGGTGATTGTGTTCAGTATTTAATTTTTATTTTATTACAGTTTGAAGTTTGAACTTCAAATTTTGGTTAGACAAGTTCTGGGTTGTTCTGGGACTTCATGTGTCATTGACCACCCCAGGGAGGCAGGTAGGCATTTTTGTTGCCGCCTACCTTGAGCAGTATTCATTTCCCTTATATGGTAACAGAAGAGATCTTAGTTTTCCCAAACTTGTTCATAAATGTCCTGGATAATTATTTTAATATGAAACAGTGCATCTGTCTGGCAAAGGTAGGAGCGTGGAAGGCCTTAGAACAGCATGTTAAACATGTGCTCTTACTTTGGTGATTTGCTAAACTGCCCTTTGAACTTTGCATGTTCATTTATCATCATTTTTCCAAGCCCAAGTGGAAAGTTGACTCCTGAGAAATGTATTGGAAGGACAGCATCCATGCAGCTTAACAAAGCAAAGACAATTACATTAGTGAGATGCCTAAACTGCCAAGCAACTGCATTCATATGTATAATCTCACTAAAGTATCAACAGTTCATCCATTCCTATCTTGTCTTGAAAAAGAAGACCTTTGATGTCTCCTTTTCTCTTGAGCTATGTGCCACCTCATACATTTCACCCTACCTATTGTCCTTCCTGTCCCTAAGCTGATATCTCCCTCTTTGTGATGCTATTAACATCTCGGGAAAATGCCGTCAGGATTGAGTTTCTGCTGTTTTTTGCATGTACACCAAATATGGAGATGTTGGTTATTATTCACTTTTAACTGCATGCAGTATTTCATTAAACATTTTCAGAGCTTTTGGGGTCTTAGCTCTGTCATTACAAGGTCTCAACTTGGTGAAAATGCAGGTGAAATTCAAGTCAATGAACACATTCCGGGTTGTGTTACAGGGGGGATTTATTTCAGAAGAGAGCTGTGGAGCTGTCTGTGTGCCCAAGGCTCATTCCAAGGCAGGAGGATATGGTGAAGTGCCCAGGTATGGTTTCGGGCTGATGGGCCAGTCTAGCAGGAGCCTGAACCATGACTTTCATGCACCTCTGTTCCATTCTCATGCTGTTATTGCCACATGTGCATTTCAGGGTTATTCCTCTCTTTCCATCCCACCTTTTTGTTAGCCTGCAGAAGAGTGCTGAGTTTCTGTTGACATTTCCATACTATACAGCCTCATGTGTACAATCATCTTCCATGGACTGACACTCAGAATCGAGGGTTATGCTAGCTCAGCATCAGCTCTGCTCCAAAGGACATAGATCCCCTTTGACAATAAAAGGCCTGTTCTGTAGCAGTAGCTTGATCCCCGGTCGTTTTTCCTACCCCTCATATCACAGACCATAGAATAATGTAAATATTTTTGTTTTCAAGGAGTGGTACAGAGAATCAGCATAAGTCAAGTCAAACACAATTAAAAGACATGGTTTGGATGTATGAACGTCTTTATGATTTTTATTACAAGGCTGCTTGAATTCTATAGTGTATCTAGGAGGAGCCGAACTCATTTTCTAAGAAGCTAAGTTGACCAAAACTACAGTTCTAAAAGGGATTTGGTGAAGGCAAATTAACATCTAGACATGTATTTACTCTACCCTAAGTGCAGAAAATGCACTGTTGCAGTGTGAATTATGTATTAAGAGCTGTTGCAAGTATCTGGCACACTTGGCCTTTTGTACAAACGATAAACAATCCATTTAAGTGAATAAGCATCAGTCATGATAATTTCTCTTTATTGAATTTAGCAGTAATTGTATCCATTGAGTTATAAATTTTTTACTTTCAAAACTGGTATATTTTCATATAATGATGAATTATGGTGAGCTTTTCCACTTCAAAAATTTCATGTTTAGGCTGATGTTTAAAAGAGAATCTGGGATTGTGGGCTCAATTCTGTTCCCATTCAGATTATTTGCCCTTCATTATGGATTTTGTAGTACCAGAGCCCGTATCTACCTAATTATTGCTGACATCACTGCTGGAAAGAAGGTGAAAGAGGTTATTCAGTGATGAACAGAATTTTATTTTTTATCTTTTAAGCTAGTGTGAGGTACAGGAATAGAGGTTTAACCGGCACAAACAGCAAAGTCCCAGATTTTCAGTGAAGGCAAGGGATAGGCAGGTCTCACCTGCTCGCTGGCAGCGCTCATCCTCCATCCGTCCATTAGTGCATCCATGCCCGTCCGCCGAGCCGGGCCGCCCGGGCGCCGTGGGGCGGCGGCAGGATTTCCCCCCACTGCCTGCTCCCTGCGCGCTCGTCTGTCAGGAAACCGCGCTCCTTGCGAAACCCGAAATGTCTGCCGGGACCTCCTCCTGAAACAGCCCCAGAGAAGCGGCGGCCGAAGCCGATTTCTAACTTCCGAGCACTTGTCGGCTTTTTTGCTTTGAAACCCCAGTCCCCTCTCACGTTTCTCCCGTGTCCGAGGCGCTTCTCGCAAAGGCTGGAGACCGATGCAGCGGGCGCAGGGGTCGGGACCGGGGAAGGATTGCG